TTCATACCACGGGAAAATCAAACAACAACTCTTAACACTGATTAGCACATTCACTGGTGGGAACAGGTTGGGTAAGAGTGATTGGTGAGTTCAAGAGGTGGATACATTTGAGCTGATTGGTTTAGGCCGTTGAGGGGTTGCAAGAGTGTATATGCTAAACTGCAGGGTTGCCTAATCATGTTAACAATCACCGAAACTATTGGGAGGGTCACTTGGCATTTCAGATATTTTCTCTGTCTCACTCTGATTGGTTGTTGCTCTGGTCCGAAATAGGCCTCAAGTATTCTTTTGGTCTTTTCAGGAACTTGCATTTGCTGAGTCAAGGACATCTGGTATGGACAAATGACTCAGCAGGGTAGCTTATGTGCCGAGGAAAGGGTTTTCCAAGGACAAGTGTCATTCCCCTCCCTTTAGACTGGCCCTACTCTGAGGTAGAGGCTAGTTTYTCAAAAATGGAGTCACATCAGTTTCTCAAATGCACATAAATATATTCATGTTTTTTCTCGTTAACTCTTCTAATAGCTGATACAAATTGTTCAAAGCAGTCTTGATTATCTAGCTATCCCATTGACCATAATGTTTTTACCCATTATATTGCTGAGATCATCTTATTTGAACCTAATGAGCATGAAGTAATGAGTTCTCTAGATGCCCTGTTAATAAACATGTTCTAGAATATGGAAGCTAAACCCTAACATATTTCAAAGGCTGTTACATTGGAAAACCATTTAGAAGTTAGTAGTGTGGATCATGCCAATCATATCCTTCATAGTAAAAGACAAGTTATTTTACTTGTCTCTCCTACTACTAAGAAAGAAGCATAATATTAAATAGGCCTTTTCTAATTTTGAAAGCAACATGAATTGCTTATGGGAATGATTCTTCAATTCACTCATCAGGTTATATGAAAGGCTGTCAATTTTGAGTAAGATTTGGAATAAGAAAGTATTCTCTAGCAAGTCTATTCTATAATACAAGCTGTCCTGCCAATTGGGCCCTGAGACCCAGCACATTCCACAGTACTGTAGCTATCTATGTAGAGTTTCTAACAATGTCTCATAGGAAAATCATAGTATAGACATCTAGGTTTCTGGAAGAATGTCATATCATGGACATGAGAAATATTTGATGTTATGAAAAATGTCTCTTGGCATGCTTCATGAGCCTCAGTGAAAATGGAGCTGCTGATTATGGGAGATTAAGTGGGAGGTCAAGCAGATCCAATGTGAGCTGAGTCCCATCAGACTCTTATGTCACGTGACTGCCAAAAATATATCATAAAGTGGAGGTGGACTATCTTTGATTGGGCTTAAGCTTTTCCAGAAGGCAAGAGTAATCTACAAAATAGATGAGCCACACCCCATATACCAAGCATTACTGCACCAGCATCTGTCGTCATTCACATTATAGCTATAAAATCAAATAATGGGCGGAGGAAAAAACCCCAGGCTTGGTTCACAGATGGCTTTACTCAGTAATATCAGCGGGTTGGAAATGAACTGGTGATGAACTGCTTCCTAACTCCAGGGTGAACCTGAAAGACAGTGCTGAGGCGAGAACCTCCCAGAGGACAGAACTTTGGGGCAAAGGACCTCATCATCCATTTGTGTGGGAAGAAAAAAAAATGGCCTTAGTTAAGAAAACCCTTGTATAATAAAATCATGGTCAGTGGTGAATGGCTTGGCTGTTTGCTTACGGATCTGGAAGAAGAAAAATGATAAAATTAAGGACAAGGTAGTCTGGGGAAGAGGCTCATAGATGTCCCTAGAGAAATGGGCACAAAGTTTGGATATCTTTGTGTTCTATATCAATGCCCACCCAAAACATTGATGTAGATGAAGAACTAATACCCAACCAGACAGTCTTGTTTATTTGTTAGCTTCTGTTCTTATCCACCCTTGAGCTTGTGCAATAAAGTAGTCATGATGGCAAAAGAGGAGGCTATGAATGGCCCAAAAAGTATAGGTGCCTTCTCACTAGGGTTGACATAGCTAGTATCACTGCTCAATATCTAGCCTATAAGAAAGAACAATCATTATCCCATGGTATGGTATCATCCTTTAAAGAGACAAGCCAGAAAGTTGGTAGCAAGTTGATTATATGGAACCTTTTTGCCCTAAAAAGGACAGCAGTTTGCCCTAATGTAGCAGTAGGGGCTTACCTTTACTKCCCACATTGTTTTAACCAGTACCATCACTAGAATACTAGATTTATCTTTATATGTTCCTGCACAGCATTGTCTTGGACCAAGAAATCCACTAGTCAGCCAAGATCTTGAAACAATCCATGATGATGGGATCTACCACTCCTCCATTATTCTAGCTCACAAATACAGCATCCCTTTAGTATGAGGTACTCTCCTCCAGGATTCAATGTATGCCCTAAGTCAACATATATTACATGGAATTGTGTCCCTAGTAAATAGATCACATGGTTTCAACACTAAGGCATAGAAGTAGAAATAACCCCAGTCACCATCATTTCTAGTAACGTGATTTTTTGGGAAATTTATTTTTTTCTGTATATGTAACTTTAGGCTCTTTATGAATAAAGATTATAGCTGCCAAAAAGGGAAATTTTCTACCAGAGGACTCAGCAAAGGTGTCACTAAGCTGCTACCTGTTATTTTAGGATCATTGTCCCAAGAGACCAGAAAATGAGACAAAGAAATGAGATACCATATGGATTATCATGAGGAGATAGGATGGGTATCACATAAGATAGTCAAGGAGAAATATGCTTGGCACACACATTATCCATGGGGCAACTCTAAGTATACTCCCATGCCTTGTTTTAATAGGCAAAATATAACTATGGCCTGATCAGAGGACATGGTAATCAAGGTCTCTCAATCCTCAGGATTGTGGATCTAAGTCAGCCAGCAGGCAAGCCACATAGACCATTAGAAGTGTAGCAGGTGTTAGCTACTGACAAACTTTGCTAATGAGAACTCCCTCATCCAAAGGTATCCCAGTTGTAGACCTGGTCATTGAAGGTGGATCATATCTAATGACTGACTTATGTGCACATATCCCCCATGACTCTGAAAGGAGGTCAAGAGATCAGACTGAGACCAGACTTCTTTTTTAAACCATAGCTTCACCTCCTGTGCTATATTTTATTGCTCCTTGCTTGGTTCCTCTTGAGAACATTTTCTCTTTGAATTATTTGCATGCATGTCTTCTTTCTGAATCCTAACATAGGGAACTCCACCTAAGACAAGCCTGGTTTCCAACAAAATATTAATATTTTGGYTCTGGTTAACATTTAAATGATTGAATTACAAACCTCGGATCCCTGAGCTAAGGATGCTTCATTGTTTCCAAACTGGGTGCCCTCTAGACATGGAAACGTGTTTGCAGTGGGTGCTGGGGACTAGGACAAGGATAAAAATGAATGGGGAGATGTGGCAGTGGGAAGTGTCACTATGAGGACTAAAGGAGTACAAACACCAGAGGGCTGCACTACAAATTCAAGGCGATTGGTGTTCTCCACCCATTCCAGGAATAAACTGAACAGACTGGAAACTGTGCGCTGAAGGAAGAAAAAGCCTCTGGACTTGGGATAACTGCCCTGATGAGACCAATTCCCTATTTGGATGAAAGAAGTGAAGAGAGTTCTGGTGTCTTTTCTAAAGCAATATCTCACCTTCATACATACCTCTGCATTCAGCCAGGCAGAGAAAGGCACACCTCCTAGGGACATCAGCCCTRCAGTTATAGATTTCCAGTAATGATACTAAATAAACATTTGCTCAGTGCATGAATGAATTCTAATATTTTCAATGTCAGCTTGTGTGTATCTGAAGTGCCTGGAGTCTGCTTATCACTGTATATAATATTCATAAAGCATTCTGAGCCCCATGACAGAGGCTTTTTGCAGACAGGGTATGGTTATCTCTCTCTAAAGGATATGGCAAAGATTAATTAGTTAATTTCATAAATGCTTCAGGGATGAAAACCTCTTTATACTAAGTAATTATGAATATCACACTGCGGGCATGCCATAGCTTCATACCTCTGAAGTTGAATGAGATTTTGTCTTATTGCTATAAGGAATACTTAAAGAGTCAATATGCCACTTCTTTCTTACACCACTTAAGATTATTTTGCAGTTCAAAATGAGTATCAGATCACAGAGGCAATGGAGTCTGCTTGTGCAGATAGGGAATTAGCACTAACTATTTCTCATTTGGGGCTCATTTAACAATTCAGACATAGCCTATTATCATTTAAAATACATTAAATGTAGAAGAGTTCATATCCTTAGTCTACTGTGTACCAGCTAGGAGTCTTTGTGAAAATCATTAAAACTCCCTGTGCCACAGTTTTATCTTTTATCAAAGAATGGGTCAGAGCTTATGGAAGTAAATGATACAAGGCAGATGAAGACTAGCAGAGCACATGATTCATTCATAGCCTTCAGTAATAGCCAGTGTATCTACGTAGTTGAACAAACATGACCAGGCATATAGAACCAAAATAATTTGTATTTGTACCCCCCCTTAAATTTATTCATTGGTTTTTTGTTTGTGTGTTTGTTTGTTTGTTGTTGTTGTGCCRTTGCATAAAAACATCTGGTTATTATTATAATTTTCCAGCTCCTTCTTAGGTCACTTAAGTCATGATGCAGTCTCAACTTGGCAATTAGAATGTCTATTTATGTAGAAATAAATTTAGAGATAAATCCTCCTCGAAATAGTGCAAATGGCTGGGCACTGTGTGCATGCCTGTAATTCCCGTGGCTCCTGAGGCTGAGGCAGGAGGATCATGAGTTCAAAGCTAGTGAGATGTTAAGCAACTCATCAAGACCCTGTCTCTAAATAAAATACAGAAAAGGGCTTGGGATGTGGCTCGGTGATTGAGCGCCCCTGCGTTCAATCCCTGGTACCCCCACCCCCACCAACCACCAAAAAAAAAAAAAAAAAAAAGAAAGAAAGAAAGAAAAAAATGGAAAAAAGAAAAGAAGTAGTTCAAATGTAACTGGACTGTTTTTTGCAGGATGATCGTGACCTTCTAGCCGTGAAACCAGGTGATCTATGCTTCATACCTGTTCCTTCAAGCCTGGAAAAGATCTTTTACTCATAGAACAGGCTCCTCTTAAGGCATGGAATCTGGCCCTGCAGATTCACAGGAGGGGAAAACAGAGGTATGAAATCTGGCCCCATGCCTTGAATGTGGCCCACCAATGTGGAAATGTACTCTTGAGGCATGGAAACTTGTTTTCATTCACAAAGCCTGCACTCCATACATGGATTCAATCCTTTCATGAATGAATTCTATCCCTCCCAGTATGAAATCTAGCTTTCCAGACATGCAAAGAGGCCCGATAGCCATCGTAGTCATGTAACCTGTCTTTTCACTAGAGAACTTTGGTACATACATGGATGTTGTCACACAAGGCATGAAGTCTAGACTTCCAGACACATAACCCAGAGCCATCCTGTGTTTGTCCCCCGTAGGACCATGTGCTGAAAGATTTGTCCCTAGTGTGGTGATGTTTAGACGTGGTAGGACCTGTAAGAGGTGGAGCCTAGTGTGAAGTTATTGGAGGTGCTGCTCTCAGAATGGATGAAGGTAGTTCTCATGGAACCCCTTCCTGCTCTTTGGCTTCCTGTCTAGGCATGCAATCTCTCCCTCTTGCACACACTCCCACCATTGTGGTGTCATCCACCCCAATTTGACATAGCCAAGGGTGTCTTTTCCAGAAGTAATACTATGCTGTTTAGACTTTTAACCTCCCAAACTGTGAACTAAATAAACCTCGTTTCTTCATAAGTACTCAGTATCAGGTATTTCATTATAGTAATGAAAAATGAACTAATATACCCAGCCTTTGTGGCATGAAGGATGTTCAGGCAATTGTGAAGCCTAACCATGAGGCATGAGATCTGGCCTTAAGCATACTCTGAATGAGGAATTTCAACTATAATATGGAACATGACCTTAGAGAAAATGAGCCTGACCTAACAATTATGGAATGTTTTTCATACAGATATCAATTTACATCTTTTAGGTATGAATTTACACTTCCAAATAAAAATGTTTGTTTTCCTCAAAAGAATCAGATTTATAACCATGGGTTTTCAGGAGTGGAAACCAGCCCTTTAAGTGTAAAATCTAGCCCTCTAGGTGTAAAATCTGTTTCTTCAGTTATGAAACCTAGACCTATAAATATGGAATCTAAGTTCCCAGCATAGAAAGTGACTGAAGGGGCAGGGGTTGTAGCTCAAGGGTAAATTGCTTGCCTGGTACATGTGAGTCACTGTGTTCAATCCTCAGCACTACATGAAAGTAAATAAATAAAAGTATTCTTTCCAACTAAAAATATCTTTTAAAAAAAGAGAAAGGAGTAAAAATGTGAATCTTGCTTTTCCAGATATGTAGAAAGTGGCCCTTTAGGTATGGAACTGGGCTTCTACAACTAGCTGTTAGATACCTAGATATGGAATGGATGTTCACTACCCAACACAAGAAACATTGTCAACTTTTCATGACACATATGTAATCTCAATATCCAAACATGGGACTTGGCATAGTGAGCATAAAACTGACGATCTGAGAGAATGATGTCTGGCTCTACAAGCATGGACATGCCACTCCATATATGGAGACACAATCTCTTATCATGAGTCCTGGCCCTACAGACTTGGCATTCGTGCATGGAATCTCCATGTATGAAATATGGACTTACCTGTGTGATAAATACTATATCTCAGGCTTGGAACCTGGCATCTGAGTTAGAGAAATTGTCTCTAAGACGTGGTTCCATGTGTGCTGGATATGAAACTTCACAACACAATCAGGTATACTCAATGTCCAAATATGAAAGCAGGCCCACCAAGCATTCAACCTAGTTTTTCCCTGTGTAGATTCTCAAATTCTATGCATATATCCCATCTTTATACAGTTTCAACTTGGTATTTCATATAAGGCATGTCAATTAAAACATGAAAGTTGGCCCCGCAGTATGGAACATGACACTCTGACGTATAATCTTTGTATTTTAGTCATGCCCATGGACTCTCCAAATTGTGAGAACTGGTCTCCTGATCATGGGTCCTGGAACTCCATAAATATAATTTCTGTGTTCATGCAAAGAKTCTTCCTTCTAAGCATAGAGAATGACATCACATTTCTCACATAGATTTTGACTCTCCGCATATGGAATGTGGTCTTCCTGGCAAGGAATGTAGAATTCCATGTATGGAAACTCAATATCCAAGGGTAGAATATGGCCCTATAAATATAGAAGCTGTCACTTCATGTATGAAATCTCAATTTCCAAGAATGGAGCCAAGATCTACAAACTTGGAAGCGGGTGCTCCATGTGTGGGTGGCAAGCATTAAACATGGCCAGGAATGTTTGAAACCCGGGATCTCAGACATAGAAACCAGCATATCAATCATAGATGCTGGCTCCCCCAAACACGAAGACTGCTCTCCAAGGCATTGCACCTGGCACACCATGTGTTATGGACTAAATTGTTACTCCCACCCCCAAATTCATATGTTAAGGATCTAACTTTCAATCTGGCTGGGTTTGGAGATAGGGTCTTTAAAGATATCTTTAAGGTTAAATAAGGTCATAAAAGTAGGGTCTTAATTTGATAAGACTAATATTCTTATAAAAAGAGGAAGAGATGCCAGAATTTATTCTCTGATTTTTCTTTTTATGCACCCAGGGGAGAGGTCATATGAGGACATAGTGAGAAAGTAACTTTCATCAAACCAGGAAGGGAAACCTCACCAGAAGCTGACTTTGTCACTGCTTTGATCTTGGTTATTTATATCACCTAATCTGTAGTATTTTGTTACAGCAGTACCAGCAGACTCATATACTGAGAAGGAATTGAAATTTCCAAGCACTGTAAACATTTCAGCCACAGAAATTGACTTTCTCAGAAATGAAGTCTGATCAAACTGGGATTCCATGCAAGGAATCTAACTTTTCAATCACAAAAATTTTCATTCAGAATTAAATACTGTCCCTTCAGGCATGAAATAGGGTCTTACAAGTTTGGATTCTGACCTTAATGGATGGAAACAAGCCCTTAAAATATGGAAAATTCCTTTCTAGAGAGATAGATAWACACATACATAAATCAATAAGTAGATAGAAAATTTGTCTACAAAATGTATAAAATTTTGTGGCTTTTGCAAACATTTCTCTGATATTAAGTGTCTTATTAAGGTAACTAACTAATCCTGGTTATTAATGTTTTTAGAACAATTCTTGGTCAATAGTAAGCTTTTGGAGAATACTAGATAGTGTTATTACTGTTGCTATTACCACTATCTGTTCTATTTATTTAATCTTTCATTCATAAAATGCTCAGTTTAACACACACAGGACTCTAGTACACATGTTTTGATTTGCTTAACAATTAAAATCCTCACTCACTAGTTTGAATAAAGTTCTGAATGAATTTTAATCAAAACATATTTTCCCATTTTTATGAGTAGCCATGAAGATGTGACTCAGGTAGGAAACTGCCTGATAAATTATCTTTCAGAAATTGGTATCAGGGTGCTATATTTGGTACCTGTTCAATGAATCTAACCTCTACCGATAATTAGACTCTTTTTTTTTTTTCTCCTATGAACTGTGGAGTTCATCCCTTGCTCCTGGCATCCCCTGTTATCTCAGATGGGACAGCTCTCATTCTGCATGTTTGAGTGTGTCCCCCAGGAATTCATGTGCTGCAGGTTCGGTCCTCAGTGTGGTGATGTAGGGGCTGGTGGTCCTTATTACAAATTGTGTATCACAATAAAACATGAAAATAATGTGCTATCTAACAGAGAAGGAATGATGGAATAAAGTACATTTCACATTGGAGGTTTGTGCTGTCATTAAATGATCTCAAGAAACAATTTTAATCCCCCAATGCTCATTACATATTGCTAAGTGAACATGGCAGTTGAGATAGCAGTGTATGTAAGTTGTTCCTATCAGACAAGCTATGGATACACAGGCACCAGGATATTGGCAATGGTTATCTCTGGACTGTGAAATTTGGACAGCTTTAGTTAAAAATTTTCTGTGTGTATGTTTGTGTGTGTGTGTGTTACATTTTTACATTGTAATTATGTAATTTAAAAGGAAGTAAAAATTTTTGCAGGGAAAATAKGTTCCTTTTTGACAGGAAAAAAAGAGCATTATATAATGTAGATCCTGGTTTATAATGCAATCCTTTAAGGAAGTCCACAGTCTATTGTGCATAATTTTCCATTGCTATAACTCTTATGCCATCTTCTGGTCTAAATATAATTCAACTATTTGGAAATGTCTAGCATCCATAGTTAGTACCTTGGTGCTATTCCAGAAACCTTACTCATCCTGTTTATGATTCAAGGATGTCTTTGAATGTCTAGTATAAAAGTCTAAGTTGGAAACACAAGAATTTATTATTAGATAAAGCAAGTTAGAACATAGCAGGAAGAGAACATTGACAAACCTTGTTAAAATGTAACTTCAGAGATAAACTGAAACAAATATACCCTTGAATCTACACTCTGAAATCTACACAAACCTAAAATACAACATTAATGTCATTCTAAATACTGATTTAGATATATTATAGAAAAGCATAGGATTTGAAGTCAAACAACCTGGGATGAATGCCATCTCAGCCACTAACTTATTCTATGATCTTAATAAACTCACTTGCGTTCTCATTTACCTAATTTCATCCCCACTAAAAGAAAATAATAACATCTGCTTTTCTTAATTACTTCTCTTTTCCTTCCTTATTCTTAAACTTCTTAGATACTGTAAATATATATTGATAGCTGGACACCAAGGACATAATAAGAGATTTTAGTTCAGAAAAAGATGAGCCAGTATCTTTCCAAGATAGGAAAGAAAATAGCTGTTCAGAATTGTTTGATAACCTAGAATTTATACTCTAGAATTTTTTTAAATGCTAGTACTCTACATGTACTTTTATATGTAGTTGTTCCTATCAGACAAGCTATGGATACACAGGAACCAGGATGTTGGCAATTGAATATGTTGGCTACGTTTCTACATACAGGAGCTGATGTTGTGAAATATAGGTCTCTGTGTTACCAAGGATCACCACATATCTGCAGTAATTTCTTTCTTAAACTTAGCTAATGAATTATTATTATTCTAATAATTATGAA